GACGGTGACCTCCAAATCACACAATTTGAAATTAATTTAACAACGCATTTTCTCAGGCTCAAGCGCATCGCACCGCAATACATATATTCAATATTTAAACCATGAACACATTTATTATTTGAACCATGAGGACATATTTAAAAAAACAGAGAATTTTTCTCTAAGTTAATAATAATAATAATAATAATAATAATAATAATAATAATAATAATAATAATAATAATAATAATAGAATCAGGATGTCACAAGAACTACCAGAGGATCAGGATCCACATGAAACAACTGAAAATTAAGTGCCCCTCTAAACAAAAGAATCCGGTTACACATGAAATTAAAGAGGATCAGATTCTACATGAAACAAACGAGGATCACATTCTCCACTAAACAAAAAGAGGATCACGTTACATACGAAACAAAAGAGGATCAAACTCCACACGAAAGAAAATAGGATCAACTTTAACCCGAAGCAAATGAGGATCAGATTCAACACTAACTAACAGAGGAACATCATCTTTCACGCAAAACAAACTAAGGATCAAAACCCCGACACAACAAATAGAGGCTCAGATTACACGTGAAACAAAAGACGATCAGATTCTGCATAAAATAAACGAAGCATGTATCAGACACGAAACAAAAGAATCGAGTTTCCCGTAAAACAATATTTCAGATACCACACGAGGCACCAGACGACTAGGTTCTCACTAGCGCCGTCTACGTCCCTTCGTCAGAAACAAAATTTGCAGCTGGCCAGACACGAGAGTAGTGTTGATGCTGAAAGGTTCACACCATCATAGATAAGATTTCGTTCGGATTTTTAACCTCGGAGGGTTAGCCACCCAGGATAACCCAAGAAAGTCAGTGCGTCATCGAGGACTGTCTAACTTATTTCCATTTTGGTCCTCAATCTTGTCCCCCAGGGTGCGACCCACACCAGTCGACTAACACCCAGGTACCTATTTGCTGCTAGGTGAACAGGACAACAGGTGTAAGTAAACGTGTCGAAATGTTTCCACCCGCCGGGAATCGAACCCGGACCCTCCGTGTGTAAAGCGGGAGCTTTAGCCACCAGGCCAAGTTTTTCGTGAGCCATCGAGGTGATGCACAGGACCCCAATGGAAATACAAGGACCCCACTGGGCATACAAGGAGCCTATTATCGTTTTTGAAGCCTAACAGTGGAGCAGGAACGTGTTTCAAATGCTGCCTTGGTATTTATAATTGCAACATTCATACTAAAGACTAATTTCAGTTTCGAAGCATGGATTATTGTATAAAATCGTTCTTAGGGAAAAAATGATGGATATCAAAAATCCAATGGGAAATACAGTACAAGTGTTCTCATAGATCAAGTCGAATGCCCTGATAGATCAAGTCGAGTATTCTGATAGATCAAGTCTAGTGTTCTGATAGAGGCATAGTGATGCTCCCCTAACTAAGTTATATAATCTCATTTATTGAATTTTTTACTTCTTTGTGGTAAGAGTGAATAAGTTTGAGAAATGTTTTCATTCCATATGCCATTGCAAATTTTAACATCCGAGTTAAATTAATAAAGGAAAAAAAAATACTGCCTACACAAAATGGTGTTGGAATGCGATTGAATAACATACAATCCCTTCACTCTCCTTGCATCTCACAATACGATGCTCCTTCCTGAATCCCACAACAAGAATAATGACATCTTTCTAACCCTATATTACTCTTCCTACCCATCAGAAGACTCGTTCATACCACCGCGGGCAATTGGTATATATTGTCACCTTACAGAGTGAGGCTGAATGCTCGCTAATTGAGAATTGAGGCAAGAATAGCGGGCAATTGAGCTCAGCGACGCGGGTTCATATGCTGATAAGAACATAATTGAGTCTGGGGAGGCGACAAAAGACTGAGAGCACTGCTGGATGCTGTGGCTGTGGGACGCCCTGCATAGTGATGCTCACCTTAACTCAGACTTCAGGAGAGGTGCCGTCGTGATGCTCAGCAAGCTCTTGATCCAAGGAATTACAACTACCCCTCCCTGTACCCGTATTAAACCTCGTTACGTCCTACTCCCCAGGAGCTGTATAACCCCTACGGGTTAGGGTTTCCTCCATGAATATACTGATTAGATTGAGTGAACTGATCACTTGGAGTGGTCAGTCTTATCACTCCCAAGATTATCACATGTACTTGCTCTGTCACACTTGACTTATGGTAAGTTAATGTCGACGAGTGATAAGTACTTGTAAGGTAGTTTACTTACTACATTATAAAAAAATATTATTATTACTATTATTATTATTATTGCCATTTTATTATTATCAAGGCTACTATTATTATTATCAAGGCTAATATTATTATTAAGGCTATTATTATTAGATCAAGGCAAGTATTATTATCAAGGCTACTGTTATTATCAGGGCTATTTTTATCATTATTATACTGGAAAACAAGTGCTAAACCTGTATGGGTCATAAAACAATGCATGGTAGAAAGAATGAGCACATGCTCGCAGGCCTCTCACCAGGGAAGTAGTGCAGAATTAAGGATACGTTACGCCATCCCGTGGCCTTATCAGTACAACAGTACTGGGTTAATACAGCCACGGGTTGGCGAAACATCTTCATAAAGGTCTCAGTTACTGCAGGTGTTTCTTACAAGTTGAAGGGCTCTTGATCTAAGTAATCGGAATTATTTTCCAATTCCTTGAGTAATACATAAGTGATTCACATACTACTGCTATTACTACTACTACTATTACTACTATTACTACTACTACTTGTACTAATACTACTTTTACTACTACTACTACTATTACTACTGCTACTACTACTTGTACTAATACTACTTTTGCTACTACTACTACTTCTACTACTTTTACTACTAACTACTACTACTACTGCTACTACTTTTACTACTAACTACTACTACTACTAACTACTACTACTGCTGCTACTACTTTTACTACTACTACTACTACTACTATTACTACTACTACTTCTACTACTACTACTTTTCTACTACTACTACTTTTACTACTACTACTACTTTTACTACTACTACTACTTTTACTACTACTACTACTTTTACTACATACTACTACTTTTACTACTACTTTACTACTACTCTTTTACTACTACTACTACTTTACTACTACTATCTACTTTTTACTACTACTACTACTACTTTTACTACTATGCTACTTTTATACTCTACTACTTTTACTACTAACTTACTTTTACTACTACTCTACTTTTACTACTACTATACTTTTACTACTACTACTACTTTTACTACTACTACTACTACTTTTACTACTATGCTACTTTTACTACTACTATATTTACTACTACTACTTTTACTACTACTATTTTACTACTACTACTTTATACTACTACTAATTTTACTACTAGCTACTTTTACTACTACTACTTTTACTACTACTACTTTTACTACTACTACTACTACTTTTACTACTATACTACTTTTACTACTACTATTACTTTTACTACTACTACTACTTTTACTACTACTACTTTTACTACTACTTTTACTACTACTACTACTTTTACTACTACTATTACTTTTACTACTACTACTACTTTTACTACTACTACTACTTTTACTACTACTACTTTTACTACTACTACTACTTTTACTACTACTACTACTTTTACTATTACTACTACTTTTACTACTACTACTACTTTTACTATTACTACTACTTTTACTACTACTACTACTTTTACTATTACTACTACTTTTACTACTACTACTACTACTTTTACTACTACTGCTACTTTTACTACTACTATTACTAATAATATTAACTCAGCTAAGGTTTTCATACACATTTGAACCACTTCCTCGGAGTCTGTTCTATAATTACTTGCTATCACGTCACTATCATGACACTCGGGCACTAGTGTTTTGATAGATCCAGACGATAGATATATATAAGGGCTTCCCACTGACCGAGAAGCCACGTCAAGACCTGCCTAGATAAGACATAACTTGAGAGTAATTAGCCTAGTAATTTATGACTCTCGTTTATATACTGATTACTGACCTAAATATTGTATTTTGGTTATGAAATTTCCAACTGGTGTTTCAGACGTGTCTGCTGTTACATTTATGGGGAAGACCTGAACTTTTAGGGATCATACGGCATCTCGGTAATGAAAGAATCAGGTGTGGTACTAGGAAAGGGAGGGGGTAGCTTCAATTTCTTTGATTAAGAGTATCTCACTGGCATGGAGGTACCTCGTTGAAGAGTGGAATGTTACCGTATCTTTCTTGTTTAATACAGGTGTCAACTGATCTTACAGAATGTAATGCACCCGTGGTTTACCTTAGATATAACCATGATATACCTATGATATGACAGTGATATACCTGTGATATACTTTAGATATAATTATGATATACCTTAAATATAGCTATAAGTGTGATATATCTTATACAAACCTGCGATCAGTTTCAGATTTCTTCTTTACACTGCAGTCTTCCATAGTGACAAATACTTGAAGGTGTGAATATATTGTGTGTGTATGAACTCAGATTAAGTTGTAATAAACTTAATCTGTGTGAATATTACGCAGACCGTAACGTCGTCTAATTTCATTTCCAGTTGATGAGATAGTCAGGATCTATTATACATTACTGCTTAATGCTGATGAACTTCGAGGTGAGCACAAAACCACACAAAAAAAATAATGTTTTGATGCACCTTTTTAAATCCTCGGAAGATCCTTCAGTGCCAACCTGTAA